GACCGGCGATTGTAGGGACGTTCCCTCGATTAAAATAAATAGTTCTCAGATAAGTAAATTGCGAGCGTGCTTAGTTACTCTTCGCTGGAAAGTCGACTATTTTCTCGTCATAATTATCATCGGTATTTACAATCTAATAACAAATCACAAATTCGACACTCTTACAGAATCATCTAGCCCTTAATTTAAATAGTGTTTCACAGTATGGAGAAATTGTTTTTTGCTTCCTGAATGTAAATGCAAAATAATATCCATTTTCAATACTGAATTCGCTTGTTGTCATTCAGTACCAAACTTAGATATTCGCCAATCGGCCATTAGTTTATCAGCTGATACTACAATGGAACTTGTTTTCAAGTGGCCGAACTTGAGCACTGGGTAATTCATTTACTTTTTATTCCCGCTAAAATTACACTTACATTAGCGATTCCCTTTAAATGAATAATATGCCATATTCTTAAATTCGAATAAAATCTAACCCGTTGATCTGAAGATATCACTTTAACTTATTTTTTGATTTCTTAAGACCCGTGTTTGTTTTAAACTTTCTGCTCCGAAGAGGAGAAATTATTTTTTAGGAGAGCCACTCAGATATGGGCACCGTATTGTGTAGATTATTTAGTCATATCTTTTCAATATCTTACGTTCTATCACTCCACCCTTAGCCGCCTAAGAGAGATGTAGTAAAGACTGTGTTTCGTTTTTTTTCCACTCTTGTATTCGAAACCTGGATATGATAAAATTCTCGTTATGAATCGCAATATGTACGTCTTGTAAAACGCCTGATATTTTGTTACAATATCGAATATTGTGAAAAAATCGTTATAATATATTGTCGACATCGTAGCTGGAAGAAATACAAGCCATAGATAATTAGTTTCAAATCAGTCGCACAACAAAATCAGATTCCAGCTTCCTATCACTTAATTACTGATAATTCTTCTTGTTTGCCTAATTGGTTTTCTAACTCTCCCCAAATTACACGTCTGCTGTAGAGAAAAGTGTCAAAACCAACACCATAATAGTGAACTAGCCTGCTGATTGGTTACAATTTATTTACGAGCATGTAAAATTATATTATACTCAAAACATGACCTACTTCACATTAATGTAACTTCAAATGAGCCATATCAATTTTGTGTTTGATAATACGAGAAGAACCCACATGCACTTAGGTGATTCACAAACAACAGTTGAAATATTAAACAAAAGTGAATTAAAGATAAGCACCAAACTTAAGCAATTTTATACTATATATATTACCCACCGATCACCAACTCAGTTAAGAAAAAGTTCCAATAAAATTTGATTAAACGTTCGAAGTTAAAGCGTCTTAAAAGCATTAAAAAATATATAGTCCTTCTAGTAAATGCGAAATTAACATAATTTTCGTAACAAAATAGCATTCAAAAATAATTAAATCGGTATCAAAATAGAGTTTAAAGATTACGGTATATAACCCATTTTGAAAACGAGCTAAAATATACCCACTTGAGTAACACATTTTGTTCTTGACCATCGTTATCAAAGACTCATCAGAGAGGTGGAAAGACATGCCAGGAGCAACAACAATTCTACGGTCATAGAACTTTCAGAGCTTTTTGAATCCATCTGAACCTGACTGACATTATTCTGTACCAAATTTGGAGAAGTCTGTGCCAGTGACACATAAAATTCTCCTAGCAGTGACTGGCACACTAACGGGATCCTGGAACCTGAGCAATTTGTCGTAAATTCTTGATCGTATTTTCCTGGGGAGACCTTCATCCCAAACCCTTTGTTGCAAGTAACTGTGATGGTCTCTCCTGGTAGGAAAAATGGAACTTTCTCCTCATGCAAAATACTCCCTTCTGTCACACTGATCTCCTTACAAGGGACATTTTGAAGCATTTCAAGCTCCTTGCCAGTTACAATATCGATGGAGGACAATGTTATTCTGCTCAGCCAGTTGAGGGAAGTAATGATGGGTAGAGTGAGAGTAAGAAAGTTAGGATACTGCCTGAGTGACCATGGACCCTCCAGTTCTTGGCACATCAGAAGCTCCTGACTGAGGTCACCTCCATTCTCACTACCATTTGCACAAGCCTGTAAGGATACTGTACCGAAGATCGAATGAGTTATGCTCATATCTGGCTTTATGGCTGAGAAGCACATGTTCCCTTTGTCCATCTTCACCTTTACCACAGCACACCCTGAAATGTTTTTCTCTTCGACCGGGATAATTTCCCACTGCTGGGCTGTCTCGCAGGCTGAAGTCCAGAACAGCTGATATCCCAGGGACGAGGATCGCTCGGTTTCCGTGAAGTTTACCTCCACACACCTGAATATATCGCTCCTCTGGAAAACCACGAAGGACTTTTTTGCGTTTAACCTGTCCTGTTTGGTCATGTTTATCTCGGACAACTCTGGAAGCGGATCATCACAGTCTTTCACCCTGAATATAAAATGGGATGCGTTGTCAGTCTCGTAGATCAGGCTGCTCCCCTCTTCCCGGTACAAAGAGCACTCAGACGGCCGATCTAGGTTGAACGAGAACGTCTCACATTTCTTTTCATACTTGCAGTATTCCCGGCATTCGTTACCAGGAGTAACATTAAACTGCAGGAACGGCTCCGACTTTATGACAACGTTGTGTGTGACACAGTTGTGATTTCTCTTCAAAGTGTATACGACAGAGAGGAGGCTAATTATTGCTGTTGCAATGATTGTATGTTTTTTGGACGACATTTTTGTTCGCAAAAAAATATCAAGTTGAAAAATGCGCTTCTAAAAAATCTGTTGGCGCTAAACAATTTGCAGGCATCTGTGTCATGTGTGTTTGAGTCTTTCCACGTGACATGGTCCGCTCCATTTTTCATTGTTTACAATCAAACAGATGATGAGCCTTCAAAGTTTGATAAAAGGATTTCAAAACGGTCATAAATTTAAAGACTTTGCTACAAAGTTTGACAAAAAGGTTTTAACACAGGCATTATTAAAAATACCTGTATTTAAAATAATATAAAGGACGCGCCTGACAGTGCACCTGACAACTCTCTAGGCAATATGTGGTGGTCCGGTTCATTTTTCAACAATCACATTATATTTAACTTCTATACAGATCCTAAAAAAGAGGATTCGTTTATTCAAGATATCATAAATCCGTTCATCCCAAGCTATCTCAAAAAAGGCATGGCTGAAAAGACTGCAGACTCCACAGTTGATATAGATATATCTAACCTGATCCTGCCTAGTAAGGAAGTTGACGATATAAGGATTACCCATACTATGAGCCACCAACATAACCGGAATATTCTCTTATCGTTTTCTTGATAGTTTGAAAATTGCAAACGCACGCACGAACTCACACAATTTTTGGGATTATTAATATAGATTATACATGATATGTTATACGTATGCTGTAGAGAGTAGTCACAAAACCATCACACCTCAATAGTGAACAAGCCTGCTTAATGGTTACAATATGTTTACGAGTATGTAAAATGATATTATACTTAACACATGAACCACTTCACATTGAGTGTCATTGACGTAACCCCAAAATTACCCACATTATTCTACTGTTATCTGAGGTGGTGCGTGACGATAATTTGTTTGAGCTTGACAACGCTTGAACGCTTGTTTGGCATAAAAGCCATCTTACAATGACGGTTTCGGTATAATAGCTTTAGAACTATAGCTGGCAGTTGTGCTATATTTGGCAAGAAGTCTTTATACATGTTTGTGTGACGCAGCAGAAAGCAATCTATTTCTAATTTCTTGAACTTGCATGTTTCGTTGAACAGCGGATACATGCCACGTTGTGTGTTATGTGACACAGTTGTGTTATGTGACACAGTTGTGGTTTCTCTTCAAAGTGTATACGACAGAGAGGAGGCTTATTATTGCTGTTGCAATGATTGTAAGTTTTTTGGACGACATTTTAGTTCGCAAAAAAATATCAAGTTGAAACATGCACTTCTAAAAAATCTGTTGGCGCTGAACATGAAACAATCTGCAGGCATCGGCGTCACGTGTGTTTGAGTCTTTCCACGTGACATATGGTCCCGTGGTCCGCTCCATTTGCCATTGTTCACAATCAAACAGATGATGAGCCTTCAAAGTTTGATAAAAGGATTTCAAAACGGTCATAAATTTAAAGACTTTGCTTCAAAGTTTGAAAAAAAGGTCTTAACACAGGCATTATTGAAAATACCTGGTAGTGTTTTCCTTAAAACAAATAACTAAAGCTCAAAACTCCATTGTAACTCCTGGGTACTTGATATTCAAAATAGAGCGAAGTGCGGTGAACAACATCTAGTTTTTCAAGGAATACTATTATTAACTGGTCATGTTTTATTACAGGGTAAGGAGTTGGCCGTTTGTTAAAGTAATATGATCCCCGTTGTTATGGCAATGATCAATATGTGTTATATTACACGAACTGTTCCTCGTACATAAATTCTGGTTAGCAGGTATGCTCTCCAAGGATCATGCGTTATTTGCGATACTTTTGATAGTTTTATCAGTTGATTTGTTCTTGTGCACTTTTATTTAATCAGTCCTTAAATTTCCAGATATACGTTAACGTATAAATAATAATAGCTTTTTGGTTTTTGGGCCATTACTCATACTGTTTCCTCTAAAGACGAAAACGTAAAACTTAGTGCAGATAAGAACATCCCTGTTGTTCGACGAATTTGAGTTGTTAGTTGCTACAGCTTTTGATATTTCTGAACTTTTTGATGTTTTGATCTAAAAACATGATTGTCACATAACCCAATTTAAGCTTTTCGTCCGTTTTATATATGCTTAGATGAAAGTACAGGCTCATTGCTTAAACATGGGAAATGACAATTTATTTAGTTGAGGGGCCATTTATTTAGTTGAAAGTAGGTCTGCTACTCAGCTACTGTTAGTTAATGATCTTTGCAATCTAAAAGTTTACGTGCGTCAACCACGCGTCAAATTGCCTAGGTACTATTTATATTAAACAAAGCAATCTCTCGACTCTCACTCTCAGAATGACATGATATTGCAGCAGCACAACTAGGTAGCTGCACACAACTAACGCTGCTGGCTACAGATGTACGCATGATATCAACATATTGTGTAAGTTATTAATGTAACTAAGTAATATGCTACATATAACTTGATACTCATATAAATAATAACATGATTTAGTTTAATTTAATTATCAATTGCTGTTTTAATAAGTACATATTCATGTTTTTCTCATTCGCTCGATTCTTTTTTGCATTTTTAGTTGCAGTCGCCTCATGTTAATATCTGTTAATTGATTTGCAAAGTGATCAGTATATTTCTATCCTAATTTTGATTTCGCCAAACTACTTGTTGAAATGCAAGGTTTTGCTTAACATAAAATCTTAAAATTATCTTCTCTAGTGGATAATTGGTATTTTGTTTCAAGGATAGTATTAGTAATAACTAATAACCATCATGAGTTTACTGATTAAGGTTGTCTGATGTATTCAATTTCAGGTACGCGGTGGAATCATAATCATAGTTTTAGTTGTTATCCTCTCATGCATTGTGCTGAGGCACAATGCAATAGAAGGTACACCACGATCTATATCCTCAGATAACCCACAATATATCACCGTTTTAGATTCATCTTCAGAGAAGCGAGGTCAGCTCGATGATGTAACGTCCGATTTGAACGTTATGAAACAGACACCTAAACTTCAGTCTAATCAGAAAACATCAAACTCATCATCAGAAAATGTCGTGGAGCCAAAACTCACAGACCTTCCTATCTTAAAACTGGAACGTCACAAGAAGTATTTACCAGCAATGATAAAGGAATCAGACGATATTATATCCCTTTTACCAGACACTGGTTTTCTCTCTGATTACAAGAGTTTCTGTTGGAATGGTAAAACAGAAACTTTAAGGTGCCTTCCTGGTGCGTACATAGCCGGTATGCCGAAGTGCGGAACAACAGACCTATTCGCAAAATTAGAATGGCACCCGAATATATTAAAGCCTCCAACGGGAAAGGAAAATATGTACTGGTCGAGGAGTAGAGTGGGGAGGAAAGCAGGGTTGTATCTGCCTGGACACAGAAACAAGGAAACATTTGACAGTTTTACAGGGAGAATGACGAACATTGAGATGAAGGATAATCACGGAGCGATCATATTAGATGGGACACCTATCCTGCTTTCGGATCATAGGGAGTGGGAGACAAGGTACCCCTGGGCCACTAACCCTCCGTACACTAACGCTGATATCATACATTTTGTCTCCCCACAAGCTAAGGTAATCGCCATGGTCCGTGATCCTGTTGAACGACTCTGGTCAGATTATCTGTACTTTGATAGAGGGGAGAAGAGGACTCCGGACACTTTCGACAAACACGTGAAGGTTGAAATGAATAGGTTCCAGTCCTGCCTTAAAACTCGTGATCTGAGACACTGTAGTTTTAGCACGGAGAACAGTGTACAGACCCAGCTGAGCCTAGGTTTGTACATTTGTTTTTTGCAAGACTGGAGTGAAAACTTCGGAGATTATCTTCTAGTGATAACTTTGGAAGAGTACAGTCGGAACATGGCTGGAACACTGGAGAGAGTGTTTGAGTTTCTCGAGGTTCAAGTGGACGTTGGTGAGTTAAATGCGTTTTTAGAGCAAAGTAAGATAGAGAATACAAGGCATAACGGTGATGTACTTAAAGGTGATATGTTGAAGCAGACACGGCAGAAATTAAGGAATTTTTATGAGCCGTATAATATCATGCTAGCCAGATATTTTCAGGATAGAAAATTTCTGTTTGAACATTAACTGCTGTATCTCTTTATTTAATTCGTTGATTATTAAATTGATTTGATTGGTCGAAATTGGAGCATGAATATTTGTAATAATTTATTTCCCTTTTTAAACATTATATAGGTAGCTTTTATATTGAAACTTTAAATCGGGAATGATTTGGTGCCATTTAATTAATATTTCATTAAAATAATACACTGAGCGTTATATAGGCGAACTATATTTTTTTTACAAAAATGGCTGAGTAACGTACACTTGGATTACAAGAAGAACAGCTATACTCCAATCTGGATGTAATTCCATTTATAATTATATCGCTATTTATTTAAAATAATTTGTAATCTGTTTGATAGATTATCTATTTGACATTTTTATGTAATAGCTATACGTATTCAATCGGGAATGTGATAGAATGATACATATGGGGTCGTTCACATATTACGTAATCAATATTTTAGCAATTTTTCCCCCTCCCCCCCTCCGTAATCAACCAATCAACCGTAATCAAGACCCAACCCCCCCTCCTCTTAGGACAGCAATATTAAGTAATCATGGACTGACCCCCCTCCTCCCCCTTGACATTTTTTCCTGGAAAACACTTTTCTCGACGTTTCATTGTTCATGCTATCATGATGAGCCGAAATCATTGTTATGATATCCGGCCAAGCACCTTCCTAACAACAATACATTTTATTTCTGAGTAGTGCATATGGGAGTATGGGTCACGTGGCTAATGTTCAGAACTTCTGAACACGCTAGATTAATAGATGTTAAAATTAAGCCACTATCGTCAAAAACGCTATTATTTTGGTTTACTAATATCCTCAAACTTAAATGAACGTGTCCATATAAATTGTAACATTTTATCAATATATAAAACTTGCTCATGCTGTTTAAAAATAAGAAAAGTATACCTCAGTTAATGAAAATCGGCTTGGTTTTAAAAAAGAATTAACGAAAAAAGTTCCTATGGCGATGACAGAGTGCCTATCTAAATAAAAAGTAAAGTCTAGAACTATATAATTTGCCTATTCATATTGCGTAGGCTCTAGAATTAAATAGTAGACATTTTTTACCTTTCATATCTTAAATTTTATGTTCTTCTATTTTTTCAGCTTTCTCATCTCTGCCTTTGTGCTTTTTGCAGCTACTGTAACTGCCACACCCCAGAGGTAGGCAGAGCATCTCAATGCTATCCTCTCGTGGGCTATCTTGGCCCAGCCTCTCTTAAAAAAAAAAAAAAAAAAAAAAAAAAAGCTACTGTAACTTAATTAAAAAATTTTCGATTTGAACTACCAGTCCATGAAAATCTTATCTTACTCTAGACACCTTTGCTCCCTCTAAATTTTCAATCTTTCAATTTCATGTGAACAATCTCTCTAACTTTCATTAGAAATATTACTCTTCCCGATACTTCGATCTAATAGTTAGTTTGGATGAAATTGTTTCCCAGAAACCAATTAGACAGTTAATTGATGATGTTATGAAACCGAATTGAGGTACTGGGAGTCAAAATCCCGAACAAAATTGTAAAATCATATTGTCCCAATCTCTGTCCCATTTTCAGTTTTTGAAGATGAAATTTCCAGGACCGAAATTTTACAGTTTTGACTGATTTTTTCACCTGCAACCAATTAGTAAGTCAACTAAAGATGCCAAATGACACGATTGAGGTGCTGGAAGTTTGATTTCGGTCGGAGGAAGCCCAAAGCAAAAAGCTTAACAAAACAAAAAATTGAATTTTCAAAATCCTGTCCCATTTTCAAATATGAAATTTTCTGAACACAAATTTGACAGATTGGATGAAATTGTTTCCCAGAAACCAATTAGTCAGTTAATTGATGATGTTATTCGAAACCAAATTGAGGTACTGGGAGTCAAAATCCCGAATAAAATTGTAAAATCATATTGTCCCAATCTCTGTCCCATTTTCAGTTATTGAAGATGAAATTTCCAGGACCGAAATTTACAGTTTTGACTGATTTTTTCACCTGCAACCAATTAGTAAGTCAACTGTAGATGCCAAATGACACGATTGAGGTGCTGGAAGTTTGATTTCGGTCCGAGGAAGCGCAGAACAAAAAGCTTAACAAAACAAAAAGTTGAATTTTCAAAATCCTGTCCCATTTTCAAATATGAAATTTTCTGAACACAAATTTGACAGATTGGATAAAATTGTTTCCCAGAAACATATTAGTCAGTTAATTGATGATGTTATGAAACCAAATTGAGGTAATGGGAGTCAAAATCCCGAATAAAATTGTAAAATCATATTGTCTCAATCTCTGTCCCATTTTCAGTTTTTGAAGATGAAATTTCCAGAACCGAAATTTTACGGTTTTGACTGATTTTTTCACCTGCAACCAATTAGTAAGTCAACTGTAGATACCAAATGACACGATTGAGGTGCTGGAAGTTTGATTTCGGTCGGAGGAAGCCCAGAACAAAAAGCTTAACAAAACAAAAAGTTGAATTTTCAAAATCCTGTCCCATTTTCAAATATGAAATTTTCTGAACACAAATTTGACAGATTGGATGAAATTGTTTCCCAGAAACCAATTAGTCAGTTAATTGATGATGTTAGTCGAAACCAAATTGAGGTACTGGGAGTCAAAATCCCGAATAAAATTGTAAAATCATATTGTCCCAATCTCTGTCCCATTTTCAGTTATTGAAGATGAAATTTCCGGGACCGAAATTTTACAGTTTTGACTGATTTTTTCACCTGCAACCAATTAGTAAGTCAACTTGAGATGACAAATGACACGATTGAGGTGCTGGAAGTTTGATTTCGGTCGGAGGAAGCCCAGAACAAAAAGCTTAACAAAACAAAAAGTTGAATTTTCAAAATCCTGTCCCATTTTCAAATATGAAATTTTCTGAACACAAATTTGACAGATTGGATGAAATTGTTTCCCAGAAACCAATTAGTCAGTTAATTGATGATGTTATGAAACCAAATTGAAGTACTGGGAGTCAAAATCCCGAACAAAATTGTAAAATCATATTGTCCCAATCTCTGTCCCATTTTCAGTTTTTGAAGATGAAATTTCCAGGAACGAAATTTTACAGGTTTTGACTGATTTTTTCACCTGCAACCAATTAGTAAGTCAACTTGAGATGCCAAATGACACGATTAAGGTGCTGGAAGTTTGATTTCGGTCGGAGGAAGCCCAGAACAAAAAGCTTAACAAAACAAAAAGTTGAATTTTCAAAATCCTGTCCCATTTTCAAATATGAAATTTTCTGTTCAACACAAATTTGACAGATTGGATGAAATTGTTTCCCAGAAACCAATTAGTCAGTTAATTGATGATGTTATGAAACCAAATTGAGGTACTGGGAGTCAAAATCCCGAACAAAATTGTAAAATCATATTGTCCCAATCTCTGTCCCATTTTCAGTTTTTGAAGATGAAATTTCAAGGACCAGAATTTTACAGTTTTGACTGATTTTTTCATCTGCAACCAATTAGTAAGTCAACTGTAGATGCCAAATGACACGATTAAGGTGCTGTAAGTTTTATTTCGGTCGGAGGGAGCCCAGAGCAAAAAGCTTAACAAAACAAAAAGTTGAATTTTCGAAATCCTGTCCCATTTTCAAATATGAAATTTTCTGAACACAAATTTGACAGATTGGATGAAATTGTTTCCCAGAAACCAATTAGTCAGTTAATTGATGATGTTATGAAACCAAATTGAGGTACTGGGAGTCAAAATCCCGAATAAAATTGTAAAATCACATTGTCCCAATCTCTGTCCCATTTTCAGTTTTTGAAGATGAAATTTCCAGGACCGAAATTTTACAGTTTTTACTGATTTTTTCACCTGCAACCAATTAGTAAGTCAACTGTAGATGCCAAATGACACGATTGAGGTGCTGGAAGTTTGATTTCGGTCGGAGGAAGCCCAGAACAAAAAGCTTAACAAAACAAAAAGTTGAATTTTCAAAATCCTGTCCCATTTTCAAATATGAAATTTTCTGAACACAAATTTGACAGATTGGATGAAATTGTTTCCCAGAAACCAATTAGTCAGTTAATTGATGATGTTATGAAACCAAATTGAGGTAATGAGAGTCAAAATCCAGAATAAAATTTTAAAATCATATTGTCTCAATCTCTGTCCCATTTTCAGTTTTTGAAGATGAAATTTCCAGGACCAGAATTTTACAGTTTTGACTGATTTTTTCATCTGCAACCAATTAGTAAGTCAACTGTAGATGCCAAATGACACGATTGAGGTGCTGGAAGTTTGATTTCGGTCCGAGGAAGCGCAGAACAAAAAGCTTAACAAAACAAAAAGTTGAATTTTCAAAATCCTGTCCCATTTTCAAATATGAAATTTTCTGAACACAAATTTGACAGATTGGATAAAATTGTTTCCCAGAAACATATTAGTCAGTTAATTGATGATGTTATGAAACCAAATTGAGGTAATGGGAGTCAAAATCCCGAATAAAATTGTAAAATCATATTGTCTCAATCTCTGTCCCATTTTCAGTTTTTGAAGATGAAATTTCCAGACCGAAATTTTACAGGTTTTGACTGATTTTTTCACCTGCAACCAATTAGTAAGTCAACTGTAGATGCCAAATGACACGATTGAGGTGCTGGAAGTTTGATTTCGGTCGGAGGAAGCCCAGAACAAAAAGCTTAACAAAACAAAAAGTTGAATTTTCTAAATCCTGTCCCATTTTCAAATATGAAATTTTCTGAACACAAATTTGACAGATTGGATGAAATTGTTTCCCAGAAACCAATTAGTCAGTTAATTGATGATGTTAGTCGAAACCAAATTGAGGTACTGGGAGTCAAAATCCCGAACAAAATTGTAAAATCATATTGTCCCAATCTCTGTCCCATTTTCAGTTTTTGAAGATGAAATTTCAGGGACCGAAATTTTACAGTTTTGACTGATTTTTTCATCTGCAACCAATTAGTAAGTCAACTTGAGATGACAAATGACACGATTGAGGTGCTGGAAGTTTGATTTCGGTCGGAGGAAGCCCAGAACAAAAAGCTTAACAAAACAAAAAGTTGAATTTTCAAAATCCTGTCCCATTTTCAAATATGAAATTTTCTGTTCAACACAAATTTGACAGATTGGATGAAATTGTTTCCCAGAAACCAATTAGTCAGTTAATTGATGATGTTATGAAACCAAATTGAGGTACTGGGAGTCAAAATCCCGAACAAAATTGTAAAATCATATTGTCCCAATCTCTGTCCCATTTTCAGTTTTTGAAGATGAAATTTCCAGGACCGAAATTTTACAGTTTTGACTGATTTTTTCACCTGCAACCAATTAGTAAGTCAACTTGAGATGACAAATGACACGATTGAGGTGCTG